TTAAGAAAAGGGGGGGGGGGGGGGGGGGGGGGGGGGGGGGGGGAATAATGAATTCATATAAAATCACATCATATATTCATCGACTTAATTATTTTCTAAATAATTGTTTATCTTCCTAGAGGCATTGATCATCTAAAAAACAATTAAAGGTCTATTTTAATAAATTTGAAATTTGTTACATAGATATATTCATCTTTTGAATATCAAAGAGGATAGGGACCCTTTTGGAAGGATTTCTACTTCTCATGGAAGAACTTTCTCATGTCGCTTCCTCTAAATAAATAAAATACTTTTAAAAAATTATCCAAATATGTTCAAAAACTTTTTATTCACAAAATTGATTTTTGAATTTTCAAAAGACCTATCAAACGTGCCCTTAATGTACTAGATCTTTATCAACTATTAAAACCCGAGTTTGATACCCATTATAACCTCATTTTTAGAATTTTGTTGACCGTTATACCGTAATTTGAGCAAGCAAAATTTCAGCCGTCTAACAGATGAATGACAAAAGTTTGTACCTTTTTAATTATTTAGCCTTCTCCTTTACCTAGTTTATCCATAACACTAAAGCCCATTTTGCCAAAAAATTTAATAAATATGTAGTTAAAATGTATTTTTAAAAAATGAGGACCAAACACGAGCTTAATCTCATCTCGTAGTCAACCAAATAAATTTTAGTGTCCTTTTCAGTTTCGCACGAGGGGCACTAAATTATTCCAAGTTCAACCAAACAATAGGGACATTAATATTATTTTTATTGTTATTGTGTGAATAAAGTGAACACATAGTACAAGTAAAGAGGATAGAAGTATTAGAGTTAGGTTGGGTTGAGGAGCCCAAAAGTCTAATCCTTTAGTACAAATAAATGATTCTTGAAAGGAACATATCACCAAACTCCCATAGTAATTGGGGTGCTAAACAACATTTTCCTCTTATTGTAAGCAAGATTGTCAAGAGTCTATAATTTATCTAATTTTTTCTGTTTTCATGCATGATTGTTGAAAATTTTGGGGTTTTTTTGACTTTTTCAAGAGTTTGTCCTGTTTGGCAGGACTTTTATTTTCTATGGAAAAGTTTCCTAAGAAAATTACTTTATATCAGTTTCATGAAAAAATCTTTTTTTCAGACAAAACACGTTTCAATATTTTTTAAATATGTTTAAAAGTAATTTTTTAGTTTCAAAATTAGCTTTTGGCTTTTCAAAAAATCCCATTAGGCAGATCCTTAATCTCTATATTTTCTTCTTAGTCCAACATATTGGTTCGAATATCTATAAAATGGTATTTAGGAAGAAATTTTCAAGAAAGAATAAAGTAGCTAGACAAATGAAAAATAACACGATCCTTGCGGATCTTGATAAATGTTGGTTTAAATCAAATTTAAATTGAATTTTGATATATGTTTGATATAACAGTAGCAAAGATAATTTTACTCCTTAAAAGTTGAGCACGTGCTTTCCATGAGACATAATCATATGCCAATATTGGCACTAAACGATGGAGGTCGAAAAGTACGATTTCGAAAGTTGGGAGCAAAAAGCTTCATTGCATGAAATATAGGGTGCTAAATATGCAATTTTAACATTGATCACACAGTTTTGCTACTCGAAAAATCTATAGTACGCGCTCCACATAACATATTAACACCAAAGTTTGATAGAAAATACGAAAATGACTAACCACCGAACATCTAAACTTTAATAGATTACAGATGCAGTGACAAACCAAACGTGAATGGAAAGTTCATTTTTTTTGCATTCCAAGACAACTGAGTCTCATAATTAGTGATGAATTGGATATGAATGTTGAGAAATAGTCATTTGGTGGATCACGTTATTAAGCCCCCGTTTGTTCCTTATTTTTTGAAAAATGAGAATGAAAAATATAATCGTTACGGACTCCATACAAGAGACATAAATTCAAATTTGGTGGCTTAATGTGATGGATAACGGTCATATTTTTCATTTTAATGAGGAAACAATGAGAACCAAACAGAGGCTAAGTCCTTGTTTGACAATCGTTATTGTCAATTTCTTTTTTCTACATAAGCATTTTTAACCATATATTCACATAGTAAAATATTCTGTACATAAACTCAAAATTTTTTTTAACTTTTTAATCACACATTCTTTTAAAATCACTATTCACACTTTTACTTTTCCCAAATAAAGTTGATCATATAGGGGCTGATTTGAACATGGATGCATCTTTATGCTAACGAGGATGACCTTCGGGGACTGAAACGTTTGATTTCAAAAAACGAAGACGAAAAGTGCAAGAGCACTAAAAGTTAAGAACTAAATATGCAAATTTTTAAATAATTAAAACCGATATCTACCCACTAGACTTTCCGTTTCCGTGTTCTGTTTGATTTCTACCAGAAGTTTTTAATTGGGCCACGATCTCAAATTTGGGCCTCCCCAGTTTTGTTACCAATTGGGCCTTCATCCAAAAGAATATCAGAAATGAATCATCCCCCAGTTTTGTTACCAATTGGGCCTTCATCCAAAAGAATATCAGAAATGAATCATCCCCCAGTTTTGTTACCAATTGGGCCTTCATCCAAAAGAATATCAGAAATGAATCATCCCCCAGTTTTGTTACCAATTGGGCCTTCATCCAAAAGAATATCAGAAATGAATCATCCCCCAGTTTTGTTACCAATTGGGCCTTCATCCAAAAGAATATCAGAAATGAATCATCCGAACGTCACACCTTTCTCTTCCTTTATTATTTCGGTTCCTTTGCTTGCTTCCAAAATCCTCGCTCTCTAGTGATACTGCACTTCCTTCCTCTCTCTAAAAATTTCAAAATTGTTTATTAATTATAAAAAATATGCATTTAATTTTCCCTCCAAAACCCCGGTATTTATACTCCAAAATTTGTAATTTTAGCTCACCAAGTTTCTCAAACGTTTCTTCGCTTCAATTTATAGTTCAGGCCTCTCGTCCTCATCTGAGACCACGTTATTTGATGAAAAAAATTTGGGCTCGGTCAGAATTTGATGCCAAAGTGAATGGAGCTCTATCCACTGATTTTGACCCTCGGTTTCTTGACAGGGTTTGTTTTTAAAATTCGTATTCTTCAGACACTATATTTACTTCTAGTAATTATCCGTATTGCGTGTTTAAGTTCGCAAAGATTATATTTTTAAGTTAAATATTTACTGAGAAAGTATATCTTGATTGTTTTTTTTTTTTATGTTTCATGTTATTGTGCTTCGAATTTGTACACTTGTAGCACGGGTTTTAATTATTTTACTCAATTATGGATGGATTAGGGATTATTTTGATTCATTTATGAACCATAGTTTCTCTGGAATCGATTAGATAATATATGGTTTTAGTTCGAATCCAAAAAATTACTAAATTAATTATTTTAGACCATGCTTTAGTTTATTACTTGTATGGATTATTATATATAATTATTTTTTTTTTCATTAGTTAGCAAAAATTGTACTTTGTTAACTATGACAGATGAATATTTTTTTCATTAAGCTAGTAGTTATCGCAGAGTTGGACAATAAAAACTTGTTTGTCCAGTTGCATTGGATTGGCGCTGGACAAGTATTTTTCACTGTCCTATAATTTGAGTAAGCTTTCAACCTTGTGCAGTCTTTGACTGATATAAACGGGCTTTTGAGAGGATTCTTTAACAACCAAAACAATGAATAGCATTATAACAAGGTAGTGATGGTCAGGATATACCTGCAGCATGGGCGACATACTGATGGGTCTAGAATACTGCTAGCCTTCCCCTAACATTTTCATGTCATCCCTTTTGTGTAATGATCTCTTCAAGTGAGTGCATGACCACCCATTTCACATGGTCTCACGTTGTATACGTCAGCCTATCAAAAAACATCAAATTTAATTATACCAATTTTTTCCTTTCATAGTACCCAAATATTTTGGTGATAAAGGAATATGATAATTGTGTGCATGCTTGCATCTGACACTCTATGGATGATTCATCTTGTAAAGGTGAGGAAACAGGAATTGATCGCTATAGAATAGATGATTCATAGGAAGAATATACTGGGGGGGTTTCTTTTGCACTACTGTGAGACATGGTCTATCTATTATGACAATTTTCTATGTTTCTTTTCTTGATTTTGTAACAATTCAATCCGCACAATAACTGTTTGCCACTGCAGTTAATACCAAAGACCAATTCTTTTCATTTGGGTCTTGAAGTCCCAAGCCCTTGGACCCAATCCACTTTATAAGAAGATTGAAGCAGGAGTGGCAAGTTGCAGAGTTAGTAATAACATAATTATAAAATAGAGAAATGTTCCATACATATTATAGCTGTACAAACAAGAAGCTTTGACATTAAGCCAGAAAAGATTGGAGCTTTCACGTGAGCTGTGCTGCTTAAGAGTCAAGAATTATTTCAGAAAAGTTTCACTAGCTTTTCTGGAACATACACTTTTCTCAATTCCACTAAAAACTTCCTCTTTTATTTCTTCGTAATTTACGAGGCTGTAACACACGTTGCCTACATAGTATATTTATATGAAACTACTTATTACTATCTTCCTGTGTAAATTTTGTGTTTCAGCAAAAAGCACTTGAAGCTGCTATGAATGACATGAATAACTCATTTGGGAAAGGGAGCGTTACAAGATTGGGAAGTGCTGGTGGAGCTCTAGTGTATGTGTAGTTCTTTGATGATAATTTTACTGTATCATGTTTTACTTGTTATTATCACGATTGCTGTTTCTTACTCTTCCTTTTCCTTGTGCAGTGAAACTTTTCAAAGTGGCTGCTTAACATTAGACTTTGCTTTAGGCGGTGGCCTTCCAAAAGGAAGGATTGTTGAGGTGTTACATTTATCACCTTTATGCTCTTATCCATCAAATTTTCTGTGGTTGCAATCCCCATGTCTTTTTGTTTTTGTAAGCGGGAGAAACTGGAGAAGAAGCAGAAATTCAGGGGAAAGAGGAAGGAGATGTCACAACCAATCTCAATTCATCATAATTATCCAACTAATGAAATTATATAAGAAATTAGGTTTAAATGGTAAAGATAAAACCCATAAAACCCAAACTAGAATTGGTTTGGGTCGATACAAGCCCAATTACATAAATAAGAATCCAAAATAAAAATAAAGTCCATCAACAAAATAAAGTTTAACTAGAAATAGAAATAGATGATGTACTCGTCAACTCTCCCAGGGTGAGAGAAAACTCAACCCTGTTGAGTTGATAGAATACTATAGGCTGCAGTCAATCTAATACTCCAAATGCTTCAAGTCATGTCATGGAGGACGATCTTTTTGACGAACTAAGTATTGAAACTCCAAAAATAGTTTGATCCATATTAGTTGGCACCTCACTTTTGGAATCCATGTATAGTTTAAATCAGGTGGAACAACCCAACAAACAAGGAAGGACTGAACTTGCCATCATTGGTTAATACAATACGTTCATCTAAAATAACATCAATTTTATTTTTGTGTGCTGTGACAGATGGTATTGAAATAGAAATATCAACATAGTCAAGTTGGGGGTCCACAAAGCTAAGTAGAAATGGATCATCAAAGGAAGTAAAATGGTATTCGTAAGTAATGAAATCCTCAATATTTAGAGTAGAGTGGTAGCTAAAATGTGATGAAATATCATTGACATGGATTTGGATCAGCATGCTTTAAAATTTTAAAAAGACCTGCATTACAGACTTGCAATATAACAAAATCCCCTATATTAAATTCATAATTTCTCTTATGCAAATCAGCTTGAAATTTATATAATGCATTATTTGCTTCAAATTATTTATTGATCTCAATATGCAAGTCATGAAGATTACGTACAAATGCCTCAACTGACATAACTATACTAGTATGTGGGAACATTGGAATAAGGTCTAAAGGTTTCCTAGACTTATAACTATGAATAACTTCGATGGAACTCATACCTATAAATTGATTCACAAAATTGTTAAATGCAATTGGAATTGTTGGGATGATCAAATCCCAATTTTCAAGATTTTCCTTGAAAAGAACATGATTATACAAATCATCCGTACCTTTGGGTTGGATAAGAGCATGGTACACAACATTTGACTAAAAGGTATCGAGAACAAGGGGTACAACCCGTAGATTTATAGGAAAAGTCCGGATACTACATAAGGAAGTGCCCTCAATATCATTCAAGTCATAACATTCTTCAAGTTTAGGTTCATAGATTTGATCTTCTAATTGATCATCTATTACATCATTTTGTTTCTCAATGATTAGCGTTCGACTCGGACATTTGGGAGAAGTGTGACCAAAGTCTTTATAGCTGAAGCACCGCAAGTGAGAGAAATCATTGGAGTTTCAAAATCTTGACCATTATTTTCCAACAAAGGAAGAGTATTAGATGGTGGAGGTCCTAGAAGGGACTTAACAGGAGGAGGTGGTGTTGATTTGGGAGGAACATTAGACAGGGAAGGCTCCATGGTAGACTTATGATGAGGTGGCGCTGATGAGATGAGTGAACGATGGTAACTATGCTTTTCATATGGAATATTAATAAGTAACTCGTAGTCCCGAACTAAAGAGTAAGCGTAATCAAGAGTACTAACACTTCGAAAGAAAAGCTCACGCCTAAGTTCATCTCTTAAACTTTGTATAAACCTACTCAAAGTCAGGGTTTCATCCTCAACGACATGACATTTCATTTGAAACTCCTCAAATTGAGCATTATACTCAGTCACTAATTGATTTCCTTGTGTAAGGGTGTTTTAATGGGTAAAAGTTTCATGATCTAAGCAACCATCGAAAGTAGGAGTATATAAGTCAATGTCTCTAAAAAAATGTTCCTTATGACGAGGAAGAGAATGAGTACCATGACGACCATGGCCTCGTTCTCGCTCACGAATTTGATCTCTATCCTTACGATCGTGTTGAAAGTGTTTTTGATCACATTGTTAATGATAATATTGTCTATTGTGGGACACTTCAAAATTATTAACATCAGTCGAACGAGGGATTTGTCGAAAATTGTTCAAATGAGAAGCTAGATTTCTACTCTTTTCACGAGTAGCAGCCATCTCGGTTTGGACAGCTGCTAATTAAGTTTGTAAGTGTTACTGGCTAGTGGCAAGTTGAGTTAATTGTCTAGTGAGTGCATCAAATTGGGAAGGGTCTATATTTAAGTACTAAAACTAGAAGTGACAAGACGACTAGTCGACCACTATGAATGCACTATATTAGCAGTTAAATGACATGCAATAGAGAGATCAATGACAATAAGTGCAAGCAATGAAAAAAAACAACTTGAGCCATTTTTTTTAATTTTAAGTTTTGGGATTAAATAAATCCAAAGTAAGCTAATACTGTTGGTACATGTAAAATAACAAAGCAATGGTCAAAGTTCAAACACTAGTCAAATTCTCCAATCCGTTGATAAGTGGGGACAATGAAAAGTTAATTCATTCAATAATTTCGATCAAGTGGGTTTTAAGGCTAAAATTTTAAAGGTAACAGCAACACAAAGAATTAAATGACGCAATTTTAAAATGAACAATAGGATAGACTAACAATAAATAGAGATCAATGACTCCTTGTTGTTTAGTTGCCTGAATAGTACTTGCGTGGGCCCAGGTATGCTTGCCTCCTTTCCTTCACACGTCATCAGCTCCTGTTAATTGTAATTTATGCAGGTTCTGGTGTATATTGCTAAGAAACAGTTGCTGGCTATAATATCTCCCTGTTGATTGTAATGTATGCTGGCTAGGACTCCGATTCTGGTGCATATGCTGCTAAGGATTGCTGGTGGTTTGTGTGGCCATCACGTAATACCATGTTTGGCTTTGGGCGGTGGAGCCAAAAATTGGTACAATTGATAGATAGTTGACGACCGATCAGGTGGTGGATGGCAATTGGCGTGGTGAGTGGCAACTGGCGTGGCAGTGGGTGGCGGGAAGACTAGTGACGGCGCCTGGGAGGCGACTACAATGGCGGTGGGTGTCACCCTGGCACAGGGGCTTTAGAGGTTGCAGACCGAAGTTTAGGTAATAGAAAGTTGGCGGTTTCGATTGGGCTTTTGATGTTGAGGATGATGGTGTGGTGACGAAGTAGGTGACGTGGCCGTCGACGGGGAGGTCTTCCACGAGAGTCGTGGTTGATGGGTCGTCGGCGTGGAGGATTGAAATTCTGGAAGCGGTAAATGGACGGGGTGAAACTGTGGAGTAGAAGTTGGGAGTTGGGCTGGATTGAAAGTGATAAAAGAATTGGGCTGAGTTAGTATTTACTGGGCTTGAAGATTTGTTGTAATTGGGTTGGATAGTTTGGGCTTTTTTATGTAGGGAAGTATTTGGGTTATATGGGCTTTTGGTGTTAATGGGTTGGTAATAATTGGTCTTGCTCGGATATTGTATATTATGGGCTGGGGTTTGCTGTTGTGATGGGCAATTTTGGATGGAATATATGGATTAAGGTTTGTTGGAAGCAGCAGTAAAGGAGCAATAACGTAAAAGAATTATTATTATTTTTTAACCGATGAAAATACTAAAATTGAACATTTTTTCTTCGGGTGAACAGTACTCGTGAACAATTACTTTTTTTTTCTACAAAGAAAGAAAACTGAAAGAATGAAAACTGCTGTTCTTACGCTAAATCTTTTTCAATTGTGCTATTCCAACAATTTTTGGAAAGGAAATTGGAAGAGATTTTGAATCGTAGGAGAGAAATTATCCAAGATTCGGCTTTGATACCAAATTTGATGCAGGACAAAATAAGGTGTGGCCATCACGTAATACCATGTTTGGCTTTGGGCGGTGGAGCCAAAAATTGGTACAATTGATAGATAGTTGACGACCGATCGGGTGGTGGATGGCAATTGGCGTGGTGAGTAGAAATTCAGGGGAAAGAGGAGGGAGATGCCACAACCAATCTCAATTCATCATAATCATCCAACTAATGAAATTACATGGGAAATTAGGTTTAAATAGTAAAGACAAAACCCTAACTAGAACGGGTTTGGGCCGATACAAGCCCAATTACATAAATAAGAATCCAAAACAAAAATAAAATTCAACTAGAAATAAAAATAGATGATGTCCTCATCACTGTGAACCAAAGTTCTGGTAATAATTGTGCATTAGCTCTACTGATGTTCATGTATTTATCGTCATGGTCAGCAACATATACACTGCCAGAACTTTTACCGGATATTATGAGCTGCCGGATCCTGATACTCAACTGCACTTGATAATGACATTCTTGGGCCTCAACCTTTTATTTCCTTTTACTGTTAATGGAAGGACTAAGTGATATAACTAATGATAGACTACTTTCATGGAATAAATTTAAACATTTTCTCTTTAAGATCAAACAGTTGCATCGAACTTAGTAAGATTGTGCTGTGTGTTTTCTGAAACAATGATTAAATAGTTGTTTTATTAGTTAAGCATTTGGCATATCAAGGAACTTAGCTGCTGCTTGTGAAGTGCAGCATTTTACGAACTTCTTCCCTTTATCTTCTTAGTTTACTTTTGTTGGTTAATGACATTGTTTTTTTGGGTAATCCAGTGTTTATTGAGCCTTGACGTAGAAATGTTCTCCCTCTGCTCAACGGTTATAGATTGCATGTTTATGGTGGACCTCATATGGATTTTTCTCCCAAATTCCCCTCTCATTCACAATGCTTGTATATTGCAATCTATTTATGCAACTAACTTATAAATATACAGTAGAACTTCAGCTTCTAGGAAATCAAAGGAAGAAGAATCTACTAACTTTTCGGCATCTCAGCTACCAAGACGGCCCTGCATCATAAAGGTTTCTATCCAATCTTAGAAGGGTTTCCACCTTATGTTTTTGTGTGTGTCATTTTCTTCTCTTTCCATTTACCTCGTGCAATGTGTTTATTTAGCCTTTGTTTGGTGCTCATTATTTTAAAACACTTCTTGCTACATGATCATTTTTCATCACACATTCACACAATAAAATATGCTGCACGTAATCCATAAACTTTTTAATCACACATTCTCCTAAAATTACTACTCAAAACTGTTTTTTTTTTTTTTTTTTTTTTTAATTAATGGCTGCTATCTGCTACATACATTTGAAAGAGAATGGCTAATCTTGTTTGCTGACAATTTGGATATCAGTGGATGAATGGAATTGGTTTAGTGTACCAATCTTCTATACTTAGCACCTTACTTGATCTGACCTCCACATCTGAATTTGGGTACTTCTTATCTGAAGGCTTACAAAGATACTCTTTTGGGTTTAACCAGATTGGTGTATATTATGGAAATCCTGAGGTCACCAGTGGTGGAATTGCTTTGAAGTTCTTTGCCTCTGTCCGACTTGAGATACGTCCTACTGGGAAAATAAAGTCGGTAAGTCTAAAATCTGCTCAATCTATTTACTTATCTCTCCTTTTTATACTGTTAATTCGTAGTGTTTGAAGACCTTAGCAATGAACACATCCATTTTTGTTTTAGGTTAAAGGAGATGAAGATATTGGACTTAAAGTTCGCGTGAGAGTTCAAAAGAGTAAGGTGAGTAGCTCCAATGACAAGAACATATGTCGTGTATGGTTAATTATATCTCTGACTTGATATGATCTAGGTTAGGCCAAAGTCGGCTGCATGTATACTTCGGTACCAAAGTTGAAATTTTCTTGCGAGAATCATTTTTTGACTTAATTTCTTATTTTTGGCAAGTTTATTCTTTTAAGACTCTTAAATCAGGTTTTTTTTTTTTTTTTTTTTCCCCATATTTCTCGACTTTAGTATAAATAGGAAATTTATTTCATTATTGTATTGGAAGACTTTGACATTTTGAGAATTAATTCGAGAGGTTTTTTCGCTTCCAATATTTGTTCTTGTGTGGAACAACCGAACTTATCAAAATTTCGCGATATTGTGGCGTTCAAAACTCGGGTAAGATTCAATTAATTGTGTAATCAAAAGATCCTTCGTGTCTTTGTTACCTTGGGGTTGTTTGATTCATTAATTGGTTGGGTTAAATCCAAATTCGGATTAAATTTATAAGTCGTGCTCAAAAGGTCAATAGTTTAATATAATATTGGTTGTTTGGTCCGCAACTTTGTGGATTTAGTCCTAAACTTTGATTTTTAGCTTTCTTGGGATTTGTGTCATTTTTTGTGGGTTTAATAGCGATCTAGTTATCCAGGTTCACATCATGACCACTCTGTAGGTTCCCTTAGAACTTCTTCTTGTGCTTAATGTAATTTAGTTTCCCTTGGAAATCTGTTATTTGTTCGTTTTGAATGTAAATGGCTTTTATGCACTATCATACTTGAACCCACATTTTTAAAATTCCATTGATCGATAATCTTATCTAAACTTTACCTATTCTTCATTTTATATAGGCATACTGAAAATTTCTGGCGCCTAAGTGTTCTTTGCAGCCTCCATTTACTTTTCTGAATTATGTTGTCAATACTAGGTGTCATTTATTCTTCTAAATATTAATTGTTATAGGTATCAAGGCCTTATAAGCAAGCTGAGTTTGAAATTATATTTGGGGAGGGAGTCAGCAAGCTGGTATGGCCACATACATAGTTTTCTTTATATTGCTGTGGCCCTTGTTTCCCTTAAAAAATCTTTTGTATTGATCTTGAGTCCATAATCAGGGGTGCGTTCTGGATTGTGCTGAAATAATGGATGTTGTCTTAAAGAAGGCCTCGTGGTACAGCTATGGAGATCGCAGGTTTTCTTTATCATATATGGCTGAAATGATTACATGAATCTCACACGCATTGTGCTAGAACTATCGAATGATCAAGCATTAAGTTTAGTTGTTTGATTCATTCATTTCTAGGAAACACAAATATTGAATCTATGTATTATTTGCTGCTACAAACTCGCAGCTCCTTGGCGAATTGCCATTGCCCTTGAGCATGAGATTAAAATTGTTTTAAAAGTAACATATGGTCGGATGTATTCTTCACTGGTGTAATATATATTTGACAACTTTTCCTCTTAGTTGGGTGGAGCTGGGTTGAGGTTGGGTAATTGGGTTCTATATAACAAGGCGGTAAAAGAGATTTGTTTGGAAATACATTTATAGCACAGTAAAAACTAAAAACTGAACTCTGCATCTCGGTTGATATAGTACTTGGATTACTGTAAGCTCTCTTAATCATTCCTAGTCTTTTCAATGTGACAACTGTCTTGCGATTTTATATAGCTTATTTATTGTCTCTTGTTTCTTTTTTATCTATTTAATGTTTGAATGAAGATTGGGACAAGGAAGAGACAGAGCATTACAGTACCTGAAAGAAAATCCTCTTGTCTCTGAAGAAATAGAGAAGGCATCGTACATGCACAGCTCATCCTTTAACTTGAATAGTGCTTCCCCTGTTCATAAGTTGTTCTAGAGAACAACTTATGCTACTTAGTGGTGACCTGATTTAACTATTCACTAATTGTGAGGAGACAAGGATATATAATTTATGTATTTATTTGTGCAGAGAGTTAGGTCCATGGTAATAGATGGCACTGGACAATTAGGGACCTCTTACACGAAGTGGTCGCCACCACAACCTCAAGACGACAATATTTTTGAAGAAGTTCAACGAGATTAAATTAAACTTGGTTGGGAGATTGGTCATGATGGGTACCCGGGGAGAAAGGTACAAATGTTGAAAAGGAAGCAAGGACTTGATCCTCGTTCAAGTTGGTTTTTGATTTCTTCAAATCATTTGCCCCATCTTAGGTTTTTGGATTAAAGATTGAAATGCTCGATTTTACATTAGATTTCAATTCAACATGATATTTTGTACTTCATTCACCCCCTATGCTGATGCCAGAGAGGAAAAGAAGAGAAGTATTTTCTTCTCTTGGGGATCTTGGGGGTGTAAAGTTTTGTGATCAACCGAGGAGAAATTGTAATATTCATTCTTCTTAACCACACTTTGAAAAGTTCTATCCAATTCCACCTTCCATCTACCTTTAACGACGATGCTTTCATGTTTTTATATATTCTTGTCTTAAAACTTTATGGTTTCTTCACTGTTTGTGTATGTGTGTTTGTTGGTGGTCCTAGAAATGGTGGCATTGGGAGGTCGAGGTTTTGATGAGGCTATTGAGGACTTGAGGTACGGTCGTCCTTGTGTTTTTAACAAGGGATTTGCAATATGCAATCCTTAATTGGTATCGAGATTATTTAGTACTATTATCAAACATGCATTTTCTTTTTATAATTACGGTTGTCTCAGATCATAGGATAATCTAGTTTTCTGGGTTCCTCTTCCCAGTTATGTGGAATTTTTGTGGTGCATAGATCTATGTGACCCTAAGAGCACCGGAGTCCATGTTATTACAAAATTGCAAATAATTCATGTGTCTCGATCAAGATAGATATATTTTGGTGATCAGTACAAAATGATCCATAGTGCACTAAGATTTGATTTAAAATGACAAATGGTTAAATTTTCTCATTTTATGAGTGTGTTTCTCCTCCCTAACAATACAAAGATAGAATCATATAAAAATATTGTATTATAGTGTATCAAAAACATAACATAGCATGCAAGAAATGATGTCTATTGAGCTATTTTTAGGAGTGGGCATTTTTTCCCGAAACCGGTGGAACCGGATTGGAACCGTTTAGAACCGGCCGGTTCGGTTCCGGTTCTTTTAAAAAATAATTTGGTTTCGGGACAAATTATTAAGAACCGATCGGTTCCGGTCCAGTTCTTGGTTCTAGTATGGGAACCGCGGGGGACCGAACGGTTCTCATAGAATTTTTTTTAGTGGGCATTTTTTTCTTTTTTGGTAAAATATAAGACTTACTCTCCAATTTGTCCCGAAACCAAAATGGTAATATATATGACTTACTCTTAAAGTGAAAAGAAACTTCCATCAAAGTAAAACGAAATTAAAAAAAAAAAAAAATTGTAGTATAACATAAGCAAAAGGCAATGACATATGGAAATGAAACGAATGTTTATGTATATAGTTCATATGTCACTTTTTAATTAAATAATTGAGAAAAATACTGAATTGTGATTACCTGAAGGCTCAAGAAAATGTTAAAAAGGGACCCTTTAGTTGGCATTTTTTTCAGTAAAATATATGATTTACTCTCCAAACACTTTTATTTTGTTTTCATTTTGATAAAAGTTTGTTTAATCATTGAAGTACTAGACGGTTTATATAAGTTAATATTTGTTTGATAATAGTAACTTATATTATTTGCATATTGTTTTAAAATTTGTATACTTAGTTTTCTTTTAATCTTTGTATAATATGGTCGGTTCTTCTATATATTTTTTAGAAGTATCACATTGGTAGTTTCTTTAGATTTTTTATTAGTAAACATTTTATTTTGACATCTTTAAGTAAAGAACCGGACCGGACCGGACCGAACCGGAACCGATTGGTTCGATTCCGGTTCGGTTCCATAGCTAACAATGGAACCAATGGTTCCATTTCTAAAATTCTCATTGGTATTCGGTTCGGTTCGATTCTTTTTAGAACCGGATCGAACCGGCTCCTAGCTATTTTGACAACAAGAATGTTGATAATGAAGCCAAAAATTTTGTAATGCTGTGAGGATTTGCATATTAAGCATGCTAGTTCAATGCTATATCATTCCAAGGAATGAAACAATACGGCCCCCCAGGGCACTTCTCCACTGGCAAAGGACAGACGCTGTCAAACCTGGCAGAGCAGAGGTCGTGAGTTCGAAACATGGGGCTCTTGGAAGGCAAGGATTTATTCTTGGAAGGCAAGGGAACATTTGGAAGGCAAGGATTATTCTTGGAAGGCAAGGTGCAACTTGGATTGGCTTGCTTGGCACTTTGTCAGATCAGGTGGGGAGCGCTCGGACCCTGGCCAGTTGGAGGCACATCCTGCGATTAACCGGACTGTGTGAAGAGGGGCCGGATCACAGACCCAAAGATTAGTCTAGAATAGGACACCTTGTAAAAAAAAAAAAAAAAAAAAAGGAATGAAACAATACGATCATATAAGTTAACATTTGTTAGGTATTTAACACGTCAAATTAAATTCTGATACAAATAATGATTGTAACCGATGAAAAGTGTGCAAAGACTACGTATCTACTTTTGTTAATAGTGCATCTCAAGAAACTGGTCAAATTATAATCTCAACAGGCTTAGTCAAACAGGAGCTTAATGAAAACTTTTCGTTTTGTTCACATTGGACAAGAACTGAATAAATACTTGGTCAAGAGTCACGACGCTGGATTGACTTTTAAGTTTTATAAATGGCCACCCTGTTGCTTTCCTCATCTGGCGAGTGGCGAAGGAAGTCCCGTTTGGCAGACGTCCCAAGTCGACTCCCAAAATAAGAGAGATTTCCTCGTGGACTTTTCTAAGACTATTAGTATGTATTTTCTTTTAATTTTTACAAAGACTATATATCAGCACTTTTTTTTTTTTTTTTAATCTGTTGCACCACAAAATTTTTCTTATTATCTACACCCTCAAGCTCTCGATTTTACCTGATTAACTTTCTGAGGTATTTTTCCCATCTGGGTTTGTTTTAATATGTGATTTTCACTGTTTATGGCTTTGATTTTCGTTTAAATTGTTGTAGCAGTGTATTATGTTTTGGTGTGAATATCTGTTTGGGTTGGAGCTGTTTTTTTGGCTTTTTTAATGGGCAAAATTAAATCAAGAAAAGGGTGATTAGGAATGTAAAGGTAATGATTTTTGAAAAATGGGGGTTAAGTTAGTATGATTTAAAAGAAGATTTTTTTTTTCACTTATAATCCAATCTTTTTCCTCCCTTTTTCATTTTTTGTTGTGGTTATACTGCATTCAATTGTTGTCATGTCAATTATGTGATCTTTTTGTCTTGCATTTTGGCTGGTAATAGCTGAGAAACAGTGGTGAAGTTGGATATTTTGTGATCTTTCTTTGGTGGATATGCTGAAAAACGTCTGCGTGGATGAACAGATTTTGTGTTTTTCTTACATTCTATCTGTTGAATCGAGCTTTATGCATGTCATCTAAAAGCAATCGGTGTCGAGTGTGGGAAGGCTAAACTTTTTATGGCATTCGACCATCATCCCAACTTGCTCCCCAACACAATCCATAAAACTCGGTTCTTTGGCTGTGGGGAAAATCAATTGTCAGTATGTAAAAACTGCCATTTTAAGAATATAAGTTATCAGAAATCCAAATGTTTCAGAAAAGCAGTTCTTAGTTATAACTATATGTAAAGCAGTTAAAAGAATTTGAATGCTGAAGAGATTTTCCAGAAAGATTCATTCTGAAATTTCTGTAACAAGAAGTTTCAACTATATGTAAAGCAGTTAAAAGAACTTGAATGTTGAAGAAATTTTCCAGAAAGATTCATTCTGAAATTTCTGTAACAACTGCTGTTTCTGATGTTTTTACCAGTCTTATATTTTGCACTATAATTCTTTGAGGTCATGAAAGATAATAAGCTAATAAATATGGATTTCAGTACCATATCGTATTTAGTGGAGTGATACATTTCATGGGCTAATCACTACTCCTTGGAGTTCAAGTTAGTCAATGATGTACACAGCTCTTTATGTCATGTTTGGCTAAGCTTGACTACAAATAATTGTAAGCTTCTTTTTTGAGAATCATATTAAAATTTACTTTCTTTTTACTAATAAAACTTGCTTTAAGCCAAACACGCTCTTAATGTATCACCTAGCTTCACATGTGAGTGAACAAGCATATGCAAACTTGTATACAAACATACCATGTTACAAATATGGACTTCATTGCCAGACCATTTAGAAAGAGTGATCACTTTTATTAGTATAAATTATTATTGGTCCAACACTTAATTATGTGATACTAGTTCTATTCACAGGGTCTCATCAATGCATTCTTTCACAACCCTTTTCTTATGAGTTTCTATCTTAAATTTTAGAACTAAAAATAATCTGTATGAATCGTTTTGGCAGGCTGTCTTTGGTTTTGCTGAAACATTTTCATTGTAGTTCCCAAGAGGGAATTCATTGTGAACCCTGTAGTGATGACTTGTTTTTCCTTCTTGTGTGGTAGAAGATTGAATCCACCGACTAGACATTCATCTGAGCTTGATGATGGTAAACCCCAAAGCTTCTCTATGCAATGCCATAGCCATTTTTTGTACATATTTCAACATTCTACTAATGTTGGATTATATACAGAGGTCTCCGGAGTCCAAAATGTTGTACTTTACTCATACAAACAGCTAAGAACGGCTACCAATGATTTTAGTCCGATCAATAAAATTGGGGAAGGAGGATTTGGTTCTGTTTATAAGGTAAAAAAGTTTCTCTCTCTTTTCTTCATGTTAGACAGTATTAGTTAATTATCTTTGCAGTTTGGAGAATGACTTCGTCTCTCATGAAAAATAGGGAAAAATCGGGAATGAGAAAATGGCTGCTATAAAAGTTCTCTCTCCAGGATCAACGCAAGGTGTAAAAGAGTTTCTGACAGAAATTCAAGTGATCTCTGATGTACAGCATGAAAATTTAGTTAAGCTTTATGGATGTTGTGTTCAAGAAAATCACAGAATTCTTGTTTACAACTACCTCGAGAATAACAGCCTTGCACAAACTCTTATTGGTATAATCTCTTCTCTTATGTTTATCTCGATTCTAAACAGCCTAGAGAAGTGAATCTGATGCTTTTAAACATTGTACATTAGGTGGACGTAATAGTAGCATTCAGTTTAGCTGGCAAACACGGGTTAAAATTTGTGTTGGAGTTGCAAAGGGACTTGCTTATCTCCACGAGGAAGTGAGACCGCCTATTGTCCATCGGGATATCAAAGCTAGCAATATTCTTCTAGACAAAGATTTGAGCCCTAAGATTTCAGATTTCGGTCTTGCAAAGCTCATCCCTGCCAACATGACTCATGTCAGTACACGTGTGGCAGGAACCATGTAAGTAGTAAAATCTTACTAGACGTGTTGAAAGAGTGTTTTTGAATGTTTTAATCACCACCATGAAGATTGCTGAATGTTTATGTTTGGCTGTGCTTGAAAGTAAGTCAAACTTATATTTGAGTTACTTATTTTAAGCAAAGCCAAACATGCTAGCAACAAGGAAATTTCAAAGTCGATAGTGCTAATATCTGTCTATGCCCCCATTTCTCATGTCGTGATTTACTAACTTGTATTGAGTCTATATCTATCATGCAGAGGTTACTTAGCACCAGAGTATGCAATGAAAGGCCAGCTTACACGCAAGGCAGATATTTACAGTTTTGGCGTTCTTCTCATCGAAATAGTCAGCGGTCGATGCAACACGAACTCACGGTTACCTGCTGAAGAAAAATATATTCTTGAAAGGGTACATAATATTTCATATGCTGATTACTATAGTCTATAAACGACCTCTTTTGATAAGGGCTCGTATTGTTTTTGTGATAAAGATTTTCCAAGGCATGTACATGACTGTTGAAATTGTGTTGCAGGCATGGCAACTTCATGAAAAACGGGAGCTTGTATCACTAGTCGACATAGCACTTAATGGAGATTTTGACCCTGAACAGGCTTGTAGATTCTTAAAGATCGGTCTTCTCTGCACTCAAGATTTTCCAAAACTTCGACCCTCAATGTCGACTGTTGTCCAAATGCTCACCGGGGAGAAGGATTTTGACGAAAATGCGATAATGAAGCCCGGCTTAATCACTGATTTCATGGACCTAAATATTAAAAGCACCCCTAAAACCAAGGATAAAATCAATCACACCTCTTCCAATTTCTTAGCCTCTGGCTCTGATAATTTGGACTCTTCAACTTTGTCCTCAGGAACTTCTTCTCAGGCCACCTTCACATTTACAGCAGTAGATGATAGAAGCACTTGAGCAAAAATTTGTGAATTGATAGACACAGATTTGTAGATTTTATTTTATACTCTCCCTTCCCAATTATTCAGGCTTGTTTTGTTTTTCCCATGGAATAAGAAATCTTATTTAATGTTATTGGAAAAACAATTATTGTAAAAAACTTTCTTAATTTGCCATAATTTATATTTGTACAATTTCAAGATTAAGTGAGAAAAATTAGTTATAACTAGGCAAATTAAATAAGGGTATATTAATAAACAATCAAAACATTTTCAATAAAGAAATATACTACATAATTGGAAAAAAGAAAATAAGGAAAGCCGGCCTATATAATGGGACGGAGGGAGTATAATTTTTTATTTTTATTTTTATTTTTTTTAAGGATTGGTTAGATTGTGTTTGAGTTTTATGTTTGTATTTAATTGGGGTATTGAATGTAAACTTTTTGAGACTTTCTAAAAGTATTGATGTATTCAATCGATATTTTTATAGAGTTTAAAAAAGTCTTTAAATGTTATGATATATTCAATTAAAACTTTTTAGAAATTTCCATAAGTTGCGGAGTATTCAAATTGTTAATGACTTTTATAAATTTTTATAAAAGTCTTCAAGGTACTAATTTTTAAATAGAAAGTACTAAAATAAAATAAAAAAATTCGTCTTTCATTTATCTCAAAATTTGGAAGACTTCAAATAATAATAATTTTTTTTTTCTATTTCTATCAATATTTCTGTTTCTTTTTCCTTTTATGAATATTAGAGTTATAATTAATTTTTTTTTCTACTGGTTATATTTGTTTGCATTTTTCTTTTTTTCTTTCCCTCTCTTTCTCTTATTTTTTTATCTTTATTTTATATGAAAAAATTAAATTGTAATTAAAGATTCTTATTACTTACTTTATTTTTTTTTTTATGAAAAATATATATTTGTCATTAAAAATTATAAGATTTTACATAAAAGACTAATTTATAATTAAATTTAAATATATTGACTTCATGTTTACTTTTAAAGGTAAGTCGTATGATTATACTGAATATTATACACACACACATCTCCATATAATAAAAAATATTAATAAAAAAATGGTGAAAATGAATCGTTGAAATCACCACCCTGTGTACAAGAATTTCACAATGTTCTTCTTGATCTATATGAATTCCATTTTGAATGAAAGTCTTCAAAAATCTCTTGAATTCTACAAAAGTCTAAAATGAGAACTATATAAATCTACAAAAGACTTTCATTAATTCTATACAAATACATAAAAAATCTACGAAATCCGTAGAAGTCATCAATTAACAAAAGTCCATAAAAGTTTTTTTTTTTTTTTTTGTACAATTATTAATTTTTTAAAAAGTAAAATCAGCCCACATTAGCATTGGGTTGTGTTGTGCCAAATATGCTATACCCAGTTTATGCCTCTAAGGTTACGGTTTCGAAAGGTCTCGACTCTCGACTAATGAAAATAAAGAAAGAATTGGTCAAATATTAAGGTCAACTTATAAATTACATAACATGAAGATGTCTCACCAAATTGGTGCGTGGAAGGAGCTAAAATTGCAGTTGAATTTTGTCAAATTGATTTTAACAAAATTTGTTGAGGTCAACTAATAATTAAACAATTTACTTAATCCAAACCACTCATGTTGCTTTGTTGAAAAATAAAATACAATTCTTATTTACTTTATGTAATAACTAAAATAATGACGCAACATGATAATTAAATATTAAAATTGAAACGTTTAAGTTGACATTTTGATGGATGTTGCGGAAGACACGATCAATTCCCCTCATTTGCTGATTTTAATATTGACAAGATCTTAGAATTCAAAAACAAAACTCTATATAGCATATGATAATGTTCTCAGTATAAATTAAGGACGTATCAACTTAAAATCGGCTCAAATAATTGACTCACTATAATTCGACGAATACTTACGGCTGTGTTTCCATAAATTCGATGCAAACGATCCATTCTGCCTTATAATTTACGCGGTCAACGCCAAGTAGTGAAAATTCAAGGGAGGAGTTAAAAGAAATAAAGAGAACTGCAGGAAAGGTAAATGGAGAGAATTAATCCACCAACTCTTGCCAGCAATAAGGAACAACCTGTCTCTTATAATTAAAAAAAGACAAGCAGACTGGGTCCCATTATCATTATATACCATATTAAACCCTAATCCATAATTTATAAACCAAAACTAAAATTCTATTTGTTTCTCTCTTTAAAAATGATGCATCCTCTCTCCTCATCACTGGTTGTCTCACTCTCATGACCCTTTTTGAAACTTTTTAACCTCATGCTGCTTCTTTCTTTTGCACAGGCATCCCCTCAAGTGTCCACTTTTTTCCCACTGATCAAAAAAATTCTCACGGTTTTGCCCAGAATTGCATAATTTTTCTTCATTTATTACGGCTCATTTTGTTATTCTGTATTCAATTTTCTATGTATTATCGTGGTTTTTTTTTTTGGGTAGGTTTCTTTCTTTAGTAATATTTTCTTTTTGCGGTGTGGTGGGAGGATTGTTCAGGTCAAAAAAGTGGGAAATATTGTGAGTTCATTTATGGGTTTGCTTTGTATGAGACGTACGGGGGAAGCAATTTAGCGTCGTTGTATTTTCCAGCAATTTACTGAATTCTCAACTGTGGAGTTCACGAAATCCTAGCTTTAACTGCGTGTAGTACGAATCTTCGGGATGTTTTTGCGCTTCTTTTTATGCAACTAATTTCTGCGAATCTGTGAATTTGTCTTCTGGGATAGTAATGACTCTTGTGGCTGAAAACTGGGAAGTTCTGTTAGTTCATATCACGGGATGTTTTATAGTTTGATGCCACAGTACTGGTGTTGGAGGTATAAATTTGTTCCTGTTCAAATTGAAGGCTGCCACAGCACAATTTTGGTAATATTGACGAAAAATTGGAGCTTTGCTGTATGGATTTTTGTCTGCATAGGATTATTTAGCTGTTATATATCAGATTCTGTAAGGTAGTTTAAACAATGGAGGATATTAGATTGTTTAATCAAGCGTGGAAATGGTTGCAATGGAAAAATTGTTACTCTGTAGCAAGAACAACGGTGAGCTTTTCAAGGGACAAAGTGGGTATATTTTTGGAGAGGCATTGGCCGATGGTTTGTTGTGGGTGTGCAAGGTCTGGGAGAGGTCTATTGTTCTTATTGGCACATTGGAAAACTTGTTTTGTTAATGGCTTCCGGTCATTTTCTGAGCTGGGCTCGGCAGCTCTGCTAGTTATTATGTGGAGCTGCTTTCTGAGTTTGACATCGATGTCATGTCTTCTTTACATGCTTATTAGTATGGTATGACTTTGTATCCTATGAATTCCTATCTTCTGTGTTTTTATTTCGCGTTTTATTGCTCATTTCCTTCCTCTGCTATTTTGAATTGCCAGGATTTGCTTTCTTATTGTCTTTTTGTTGTATGGAAATTGTTAAACTTGAGTTTTATGCTCCAGTATGTCATTCGTGCAATAGTATCCTCTATATAGTAACAACATATGAAGAATTCCCTAATTGTTAGTTGATGCAAATTATAGTTATAGACTCGATTAACAGTTTCGTTTAATCTTTTATCGCAAATCAACCTGGAGTATATAATGAATATAGAGGATCAATATAAGATCTGGCATGAGCTATAAGTAGGCCAGTACTAATAGTTCCTTATATGAACTGTTGCTGGAGCAATCATATAAATTATTATTCATCCATTTCACAACAGAATTCTATTCAAATCACGTTATCATTTATTTGAAAGGAATCGTTTCTGTGTCACAAAGTCTAGGCAGTTATATGCTTTCTTGTTTTGTTTGTCTGTGTGGCCTATTGCAGTTAGACATGTAATATCAGATGATGTTTATTTGGATTCATGCCTTTTATTGTACATTGACTTGTGCGTTCAATGGATTCTCGTGAAGAGGCTTATGATCTATTTATGATCGCATCACATGATTCATGTTTTAATGCTGATGTGATTCTCTCGTTTAGATGTTGGTTGATTTTAGCCTTTCTTTAGTTCACTTGTTCTCGGTAGTCTCTCTTGCTACAAGGAATTATCTAGTATGTTGGAGAATTATGTTCTATTGTTACTCATTTAATCTAAAGGCTTCCGCTGCATAAGTTCTTATGGACATGTTCATAAGTAATGTGAGAATCATTAGTTGCATATTTCCTTCCAGGTCGCTGCTGTCGTTGCTGTTCGGCACTTAGGCTACGCTCCTGGACTTTTTATTGTGGGACTGTTTGCCATTCTAATTTTATGGATGTATGCTAACTTTTGGATAACAAGTACATTGTTCATAGTTGGAGGTATGTTTTGGTTCTCTTCTTCTCTTACCTTGAATTTAGCTAATGCCTGATATAGTTTATATTCTTGTACTTTTCAATTTTTGTTTTACCCACTCATGGAACAAATCTAATCTCTTCCAAAAAAGATGAGGGTGAGTTTATTATTGCTTGACAGGGGACAAAATTTTTAGTTCTGGCAAAAGAATTATATATTTCACTTCTTCGCTCGCAAATTCTTACTATAGTTCTTATGAATTTTTACTGTTTTGTTATTTTCTTCCGATTTGATTTGCCTCTTATAAGCCATTCACTTTGAATATCTGCGCTTTTGGAATTATTTCTTGAAATCCCCATGGATAAATAATGGAGCAGTCCCTGGGATGTCAAGTGTCTCAGAAACTGCAATATTAAGTTCTGTTTTACATTCTAACAGTATGTTTTGAAGGCATTTGGAAAACATGTTTCTCTTCCTTCTTTTTTCTTCCAACTGGGATAGTAATTAATTTTTATGTCTAGAAGAACAGCTCCCGGTGATTGGCTCAATGTAATTCCTTTAAATGTTAGCAAATCACATGCATGTTATGCTCTGAACATTTTTATTCCTGACCGACACTAACATCTTTTTGGAAATGCAGGCTATCTATTTTCCTTAAATCATGCACGGCTGGTGGTAATCATGGCAACTATATATGCTATTTATTGTGTCAAAGTTCACGTAGGATGGCTTGGGATTTTTCTTTCATTTAACCTTTCATTCCTATCAAACGATGTCTTGAAATATTTACTCCATTGGTGTGATAATTTGAGTGAAAGCACCCATTTTGAGGAGCATAAAGCATCTGAGTCATTCCCAGAAGATTGTTTCCCCACAGAGTGTGAATTTTCTAGTCCTACCGAAGAAGAAGAAAAATTGCACTCATGTAAATCATCCCACAAACCTGCAATTATTTCATTTGTTGAAAAACCAAAGGAATGTGCTGCTAAGCAGGTGGTTAGAGAAGATGCAAGTTCAACAATTGAAATGGAGCGGATTTTAAGCTGTTCCAATCATTACGAAGCATTGGGATTTCTTCGTCACAAGAAAATTGATGCCGTATCATTGAAGAAGGAGTACCGGAAAAAGGTATGATACTTTGACCCCCATGCATGCTGATGATTTATCTTGTTTTAGCTTATTTTTAATGCACGTGGCCAGAAATAGTATTCTAGTTACTTGAAAGTTGGCATATCTAGGTTTTACCACAGGTCTGTCAATTTTATTTTTTATTTTATTTGTTTGCATTCTTGGTGGAGAATATGTCAAAATATTCTGTGACAATTTATGATGTCCTAGTTTCAGTGGCATAAATTTCTATTGAAAAATGGAAAATTCACTTTTTTATTTTTTATTTTTTCTCTATCTCTGAATCTTGATGTCAAATGTAGATTCATACTTCCTATATTAAAATACTGCATAGAAGGGTCCATTCTTTCCTAATCATTTTTATTTATTTATTTATTTTATATTACTTCTGGATGTCTTAGAATAAAAAGAATAAACATTCAATTTTGTACGGAGAAATATTAAGAAAGGTACAGGACAAGAGAGGGGATTTTCAAGGATTCAATATCCATAAGGATCCAGGTTGTATATTGATTAAGATGGTTCAGTGAGAAGTTTGTCTTCTGTTCCTTGTTGAATGAATTGATCTCCACAAATCAGGAGGTTACAAATTCTTGAATGCAAGATTTGTCTCGCATTTACAATATGAGCTGCAATCATGATATAGCTGCAGCTGCTTAATTTACCTTGTAGACAAGCTCGGTTGCACATAAATAAGGTTAAAGCTTATTATAATACTGTTGTTCTCCAGCAGTGCTTTCTTAATTTTTGGCATTTCATATTTTCTTATGACCCTTTAGGAAGGCAGTAGGCGTTCCCCAAGTGCACCGAGACAGCAAAAAGTTAAAATGGGATTTTAATAACATACTATCATCCTATGAAATTATGGACAAAATGAAATTCATAAAAAAGGTGGACTCCAAACAACCAATTAATTAAATGGAGACTTGAATGAGTTGTGCATAGCCTTTAATACAAAAGTCATCGTTTGGAGCAATCTGAAAATGGGTACTACAATTTATGAAGGGGTGTCAAAATTCAATAATTAGTAATAAAGCAAGATCAACAATGGCTTCACTTTTTTACCGGTTGTATGTAATGAATCTTTAGATGTTCGAAGTTTGTTGCTCTGATTGCATTTAATAAAGCTGCCTACTGCCTAGAAAAGCATTGTACTTAAAAGGATGCACTAACAAGAAGAGAAACTACTATTAATCTTATAATGTCCAAGAATATCAATTGGGTAATGACGTTGCCTCCATATGATTCTTGGGAAGACCAAATTACGGTAACTGGGAAGTAAGTTAAATTCAGGTATTGAAGCTGAGTGGAGACTGACACTGCTAAGGTCATTCATTTTGTTATTTTACTCAAACGGAATGTACTTCTTCTTAGACCGATAACATAACATAGTAACATGGTTTGTGCATTTGGCAAAATGAAAATGGCATCTCATTCTCTTTGAGGAATGTGAAGATCAAAGTCTTGTGTTAAAGTTGTACTTTATGACTGTAGATGGCTCTCTTTATGTTATTACATATGCATTCATGTCTTAATGACTGAATTTTTTTACATATTTTGATTCAGGCCATGCTTGTGCACCCAGATAAAAATATGGGAAGTCCACTGGCTAGTGAATCATTTAAGAAACTTCAATGTGCATATGAAGTAAGAGTCTTTCAAGTTTTCTTAGATTCTTGCTATTTCCAAAATGTCTTGCTGTGGAAGCTGCGGTGCAGTATTGCTTTGTTTCTTTGTTGCTTACAATGACGTTCATATTCAGGTTCTTTCTGATTTTGTCAAGAAGAAGGACTATGACGAGCAACTCAAACTGGAAGAAGAATCTAAGGCTGTTCTGCAGAAATCTCCTAGCACTTCTCGTCAGGTACGAAGATATGATGTCTCTTGTGTGCTTGTTTAGCGACCATAGTTCTATTTTTAGATCTCAGAAAAAATTGGAGCATTATTTTTATCTTAAAGTGTAAATTTGAAGATAAGATACGCACTTTTGTTTTCTAAATAGAAAATTATTGTTCAGTCAAGACCCTGGATTGTAAACCTATATCTCGTTATCATTTTTTTGTCCCTACGTAACTGTTAATAAGTGTTGAGTGTGATGGAAAAGAAAGTCGTTCTTGTTCATTTAAGTATGTTAAAATATATGGAGGGATCTATGTTTTTTGAATGTGGCTTCACTATCTGTTAGTTAGCTGGATATTTATTTTATCAAAATACATCAACTCTGCATTATCGCGTGCCAGGAAACAAAATTAATTAGAATATATAACAGTTCTAATTTCATATTCATCAGGATACTGCTGGTTTTGTTTCTGAGGAGTCAAGGCGTATACAGTGCACAAAGTGCGGCAATTCGCACATCTGGGTTTGCACCAATAGGACGAAGGCTAAGGCAAGATGGTGTCAGGTTAGGCTACTCTTTAAATTGAAAAAGTTCTTTAGTTTATGCGCAATGTGCAGGTAAATTAATTGATGAGCATTTTCTTGGCTACAGGATTGCCGTCAATATCATCAAGCAAAAGATGGTGATGGATGGGTGGAAAAAGGGTCGCTGATGTTCGATTGCCCTCAAAAGGTGAAAACTTGATATTTTCATTTCATATATGCATTTTGCAGTGGAGATAATCACTGTGAACTTCTAATGGTTCCATTACTGTTATATCAATATTTTGAATTATGAATTATGGATGTATAGCAGATTGCATATTTTAGTCCAAAATCTTGTTTTATGTGGTCCTTGAACCACTGCCAGATACGCGAGGATTGCTTATAGAAGACTTGCAGTATTAGTGAAAGCAATCAGGAATACGTTGCTTTTGGATTTTGTTATTAGATGGAGTCTTTTAAAGTAAGCACGGAAACCAGCATTTTATTAGCCGACTTAACTTTGCCGTACTTGATCAACTATGCTTTAAAGGTTTTAAGAAGTTTGCTTTGTCAAACACTATGTCTACTTTTAGTGAATACGACAAATAGTCTGCATGTATTGTGGACCTGTTTTTTTCCCTATACATTACATTCCCCTGAAGCAATATTGGTGCTCCTTGTTTTAGACATCACATGTCTAGTTTAATGATCAATAGGGTTTTTGTCTCTTGAGATTGTTAGCTAGACAGTGCTTGATTTTTATCTCCTGCAAGAGATGGTCAAAGTATCTTTTGTAAGTAAACAGAAGAACCGATAATTGAGCGTGAATTGTTTCCTAGAGGTTCATACTTTGGTCTTCATCTTTTCTTCCTGAACTAATTTGTGCTTTAGGCTTCAAAATTGATACGGCAGGACAAATTATGAAAGTGGTTTCTGTGCATTCTCAGCATTAATGTATTTGATGTGTCCTTTTCCGTTTTTATGTAGCACGTTTCAGAAAATATGAAACATCTATCAGCAATACTAACGTGATTTTGGTGACCCAAGTGATGTATAGAGAAATTTCCCTGTAATTATCATCTATTTTTCTCCCCCTCTTGGTTCCACTGAACATATATTATTTGCATTGCCATATAGGTGGAAATACCGTGTGCTTTTGTTTGCGCTGAGAGTAAGATCTTTGACGTGTCAGAATGGGCTACATGTCAGGTCAGTGCAATTTTTATGCCCTTAGTTTGTATTGTCTACATGTCGAAGAAAATGTCATCCATTCTGAAAATTAGCCGAACTAGCTCTATTTTTTCTCCCCTTGTTTTTCGGCATTATGTTATATTTCTAACCTGGCAATGTTTTCTCTGTTGCTTTGCATTTGCACATTGTTTATTTATGTCATACATCAAATTTCACTGATAAGTTTAAGGTGCTATATCTCAATATAGGGAATGTCTTTGAGGCCCAACACTCATCGACCAAGCTTCCATGTAAACATGGTTGGACCAGAGAAGTCGTCAGGTCAGAGATTTAATTCAACTCGATATCCATGGGATTTAGACATTGAATTGATGGATGAAGAAGAAGAATTCGAGCTGTGGCTCCAGCAAGCCCGAGCATCTGGACGTTTTTTTGAAACCCCAAAGCGCAGGAAAACATGGAGCCCCTTCAAGTTGCCTCAGAAAAAAGGTAAAAAACATTGGCGAAGATCGTCTTAGAAAGGTACTCCTGCAACATCACCTATGCTACGCATCCTCAAGTGAATAGGATAAGAAAAAAAAAAAAAGGGGCATGAAGTATTTTTCATCTAAATCATTGCTATTGTTTCTGTATCATCTTCTCTTCAGTGCACTTAAGCTGATATCAGAAAAATGTGGAGGAAATAGCTACTTATCAATAGCCATTGTCACAAGCAAATATAACACTTGACCGGATTAAAAAGCTTTGTTCAAAATATATTAAGAGCAAAGATAGCCCTCATCTGAGATCAATAATCCCAGACAAATAGATAGAGGCTTATTCTGGATAATTGTCCCAGTAATCTACAACAAGTACTCATTTCACCCACAACCAATATTCTGTGAACCAACTTTAAATAAGAATTCTAATCATTACTGACTTGAAAATCCACGAGCGCTACAATTTGTCTTGTAAAGAATAACACAAAGGCTTGAACTGACTCATAAACTATGTCATGTTTCATAGTGTAACTTTGATCACACTTAATACAGTAAAGGAACAAAAAGAAGCTACAGTTTCATTAATTGCACCATATCAGTTTTGTCCATATCAATCATGCGGTCATCGTGATGAAAACAAAAGGACGAAGGGCATTTGACTGCTCATTAGACCAGACTGGCTGTAGGTCATATCTCCCGTCTTTTTCTGCCAAGGCTGTGTCCATAACCGGTGGCATGAACAATAAACAGCTCATCTTGCTTTATATCCTGTCACATATCTCTGGAAGCCAGCAAAATCGGATATAATCTTCACATTATGGAAGCTGCCTTTTGTTTCAGTATCCATGCGCTCGACTAGAAATTTGCTCTGTGTTTCACCATTTGTCTGCAGTAAGAAGGTCAAAAGTATATGATGAAAAGAAACTGCTTCCTTAAATGGACACATTTTAACCACTCTTCTCCCAAAATTGAGAGCTCGATACTAGGATTTGACTTCACATCTCATGCAGTTAATAGGAGACTCTATATCTCACCGTGAATAAGAAAGCTAGAAACATGCTCAACATAAAGTCCATTTGGTGATGTTACAAGCTAATTAACAGTATTAACGCTGCAGTTCAATAGCTCATCTTTCCAAATCCTTATGTGGTAACTGGTAAGCAGTCAGTTACGGCGCCTTATTCAGCATTCTGACACCAAGGGGATTGAAAAAACTGCTCTGAAACAAAAGGGGATCTTACCATAAACTGCCGCAAGAGTAATTCTTTTAAAGGTTGCGTTTGGTACACCGAATTAGACATAAGAATTAAGAAAGTAAAAAATTAGAGTAGATATATGGGCCTATTCAGTAGTGATTATGAGAATCAATTGTTTGACCATTAGAGAGAAAAGTGGATCCTACCTGTGAGTGAAGAAGTCAAAAATGACGGCTGACTTAGGGAAGTGACGATCAAAAAATTGATTTTTTGGGGTGAAAAATCATAATCAAACGGGGGCATAATATCAATAGTATTAGGGTGGATTAAAGTGGATAGTAATTTTTAGTTTTCTATTCAAAAGAATATTATTTGTACTTTCTTTCTTAAGCTAACCGCATAACTTAATATGGAGTGAGGTTAGTTTAGGCCAGATAACAAAAAATGCGCAAAAAGCATTCTCTTTTAATGAAAAACTCATAAATACTAACCACCTTAATTGACCCTAATACTTTCTACCCAGTACTGTCTCTTCTAATTTTACGTATAATTTCTGTGCCGCCTAATCTTGTGTACCAAACATAACCTAAATGTATAAAGTATTTTCAGTTAAAGTGCCTTCATGATCTATGCGTGGTTCATTAGAATTTCCGGAATGCTTACCAATAGAAAGACTCTCAGATAGAGAAACATCTGATCATTAGTCAGGAATTGAGTTCCTGGAAATACCATGACGAGGACTCTTACTGTATCATTCTTTAATAAAAGTGCAACATGCATACAAGTAGGATATAGATCCCTGATAGCATCAATGTTCCCTTATAGCTAAAAATTGAGGTTGAGGTTAAAAGTAACAAATTTCATAGAATATATCGTGCCAAAAATCGAGAAAAATGTGTAGATACCTCAAATGCAACAAATCCACCAGGTTTTAACATGAATACAGCTCCACTGCACAGATGGAGAAGATCATTCATGCCATTTGCACCACCATCCAGTGCAAGCCTTGGTTCATGTTTAGCAACTTCAGCTTGTAGGCCACCAATATGATCACTAGGAATATACGGTGGATTGCTAACAAGTCCTGCAAGTTCTCCTTCAACTTTCTTTAACGGTTCAAACCAAGATCCTTGCTTAACCGCAATTTTCTCCTGTTATATATGTTTAATTTAGGTAACAATATCATTCTTAAGTTGTCCAAAATAGCGAAAGACCAGGCCTGTTGTATCTATTGCTATTAATACTGCTGTAGTTTAGTGAATACAATAAAGATGTCAACAGCATAATTATATCCTTTTCCTCTTAGCAAAGTCAGAAATCGAAATAAAAAGCACTAAAAATTCAACACAAACACAGGAGAAATATATAGCTAAAACAGACAACTGACCTGCAAATCATACCTTTGCACATTATAGGATGCTACAGAAATAGCAACAGGGCTCAAGTCAGTTGCAATAACTTTACCAAGATCACCCAAAATCCTGCCAATTCCAATGGCAAGTGCTCCACTCCCAGTCCCCAAATCAGCCCATAAACCATTCCTTAACTCCTCATTTTCATTTACAGCATCATTAACCAAGTCCACAATCATCTCAGTCTCTGGCCTTGGTATCAATACCCCTTCTTCAACACTCAACACCAAGTCCCTCCAGTGCTCACACCCCACTACATACTGAAATGGCCTTCTCTCTTCAATCCTCTGTTTCCACATCTCGTAAAGATCATCCAAACATGCCCTTAGTGACACCACTGAATCATCATCATTTGAATTCTGAAATGAAACCTTATTGGGGTTTTCAAATGCATCTTGAATGAGCCATGTGAGCTCTCTCTGCAAAAGGGTCGAGTCCGGGCCGTTATCCAAGTCCAAGAAAGTGGAGCCCACAGAAGAGACTAGGTTTTTTGCCCAAATGTGCCATTTTTTCAGGTCTGCAACGGTGGCACCGAAGGTGGGCGGCCGGAGATGGAGTGGAATCCGGGTTTTGTGCGAAGAAAACACTGTGGAGCAGGAAACAGGTCGACCCGGGTTGGAGTGAAGCAAAACGGGTTGCAAAATGGAAGAGAAACACCCACGTGGGAAAATCCACTTCATCGTTTCCCTCGTACGCACAGAAGCGCACGCACACGTCGAATTTCGCTATTGCTAGAAACGAACCCTTGGGCCTTGTCTCGACAATCCAGCAAGAGCCAAAATCTTGTTACCTAATTGTGACAATCAATAATAATTACGTTAGGTCATATTGAATATTTTTGATAGTATAATTTTTATGGTATTATAGAATGTAAATTAACGCATTATTAATGCTTTGTCTCATTTTTTTTCAAAATGTATTTTTTACTCATTTTTAATTACATATTTTTCATTAAAATAACATTATACGTAAATCAAATTTTTTTTTCTTATTTTTCAACTATACATTTTTCATCAATCTACTATTCTAAAATTCATTTTTCATAAAAACGGGGCTAAAAAACCCCCTAAATTATCAAAATGGCAAAGAGCGTAGCTGACTAGCTGGTGTTTTGCTTTTCGTACATGTTGTTAATCATCTCTTTCTTCATGGTTATTTCACACCATATTTTCTTTTTCCTTTTAAATAATAAATAATTAACTTAGTCTTTAGAAAGGTAGTGTCGTGAAAAATTCTCACCTTCACGCTAGAATTAAGTCATGGTCAATTTTGACAACTAATTAGACAATGCGTTTATATTTTTTATAAATTAGCATCTCGTCAACATACTTGTTAAATAAAAATTTTAAATAAATACGCATTAACTTTCTTTATTTGAATTCGAGTTTCACATCTATTCATTCATTTATAAAAACTTTTACGTACCAAATGTGATTCAAATCTATCAATTTAAACCAACATCCCTTGATACAGAGCCTACACAGTAATTTAGTGCCTGTTTGAGCCACATTATTTTAAAAAAATGCATTCTTAAACAGTGATTTAACATCATTTCAACCACACATTTTTCAATAAAATAATATTATATGCAAAAATAAAAAAAAATTCTTATTTTTTAATTACATATTTTCCATCAATACACTATTCAAGAACGTATTATTTCCTAAATAATGCTGCTCAAACACCCCATTAACAACCAATTGATAAAGCATATTATAATGAGCATTCGAGAACTTGAAATGTACTACTAACTTTTGAAGTGATTTTATCATTATTTTCACAATCATTTTTCTTTTCGATTCAATTAAAATCGTTAAACATGCACTTAATTCGAAAAGATTGGAAAATATCTCCATTAATTTTGTGCTTGATGTGACATGTTAGGTACAAAAATTGACAAGATAAAAGAAGTTAAAACAGGGTACGTGGATTTACATTAGGTCCAAAAGATTGTTTGTGTGATTTTGCTATTCCATTTGTCCACAGCACATTAAGCCCCTCTTTGGTGGAATTTAATTCTAAGTCAAAATTAATAATTTATTTTAATCACATATTTCACGAGATCTATAAATTTTTAATTATATATTTAATCAATATTTATCAAAATTTAATAAAAGTTTGATCTTATTCCACACCAAACACGAGATAAGCATTTGATTGCTACAAGTTATTCAAAAATTATTTTTTCTCGATCTCATTTTCAACTTTATATTAACTTTTTACATAGATCCACGACTTTTACTATTTTTTAACCCGACTTTATTTTAATAAAATTATTTTTTACTTTGAATAATCTCTTCTAAACAAATTACAAGAGCACATAATTAAAAAATATTTTTTTAAAGTAAGTAAACAAAAACAAAAGGACAAAACAATAACGTATGCATGCAATAATTTTGTTTCAAACATTGTTCCAGCGTTTTAATAAAATAATTATTGAATAACATGTTCAGCATAGAAAAATGCATTTGATTAGCACTAAAATTTGTTTAAAAGTAGCTTTTTCTTTAACTATTTGTGCAAAAAGTATATTATACTTTTTCAAAAAAAAAAAAAAAAACTTAAAAACTCTCTTTTAATCACAACTATACTTTAAAAAAATAATTAAAAATTCACTTTTAATCACAATTAATGCTTGTTAGGAAAAATTATAAGTTGCTGAATTTATAATTTGATATATATAAATGATAGATAGATAGAGAGACGGACAGATAATAATTGTGGATCCTATAAAAATGTATGATTAAAATTTAAAAATTAAATTAAAGTTAGATTTTGATATTTAAAGTAAACAAATTATAATTCATATACTTACAACTCATTCAATTCAAAAGGTACCAAACAAAAACAAAAGAAAATCAATATAATAAATATTTAAAGGAAAGTCATAAAAATACATACCTACTCATACCTGATTCACCTGGATCTTGCCATTTCTCTCTCTACCGTTATCTGTCTTCACTTCTTTTTTCTTTTTCTTTTTCAAATTTTCTCCTCTCATTTCTTGGATTTTGTCAACTGTTTTCTGCTCATGGTTTTTAATTTGATTGCTTAAATTGTGATGGGTATTTGTTATTCGAAGATTGACAACAAGGATGCTGAATGGCCAGGCGAAAATGAGTATGATAAGAAGATAAATTTGAAGTTAAAGAAGAGCAGCTCAGGTGAGTTTGCAGCATTTATTAGCAAGTTAAGTGGTGGTGGCGCGGTAGTCACAGCAGCGGAGGAGCCGGCGCTACACCAGATTCAGGGCCGGCTTTTCTCCAATGGCTCAAACAGCATATCCTGTTTGTACACTCAACAAGGAAAGAAAGGAACCAATCAGGATGCCATGATCGTTTGGGAGGTCAATTTGTTTGAAAATAAATTATACGTGTCCATATAAATAGTATGCACATTTTTTAAAAAATTTTTTTGGGGGTATGCATTTGCTATTAATGTTTAACGATAGTGGAGAAATAACAATATTAACAGCTACTCCTCTGATAGTATCCTGAAATTCAAATTAATTTGTAAGTTGAAGTCAGTTTAGGTTATAGTTGGTTATTGTTGAGCAGGAATGGAAAAAATTATTGATGAAAATTTTGTCCATTTGGGTCAGTTTATGACTTGCTAGTTGCTTCGAATGTTTCTATTGCAGAATTTTTGTACGAGAAGCAACACAAATGCAATATTTTGCGGTGTGTTTGATGGACATGGCCCTTTTGGTCATATGGTTGCAACGAAAGTTCGGGACTCTCTTCCTCTCTTGCTGCGTGAAGAGTGGGAAGCCAAATCCGATAGCAAACAAATTTCTGCAGGCGAGAATGGGAACCATGCAGGAATGATTCGTTTTGATGAGTTCATGGATGGTGATGGATTTGATTCAATTGAAGTTGACGATAATGACAAACTCCCCGAGATGCACGTGCCACTTAAGATGTCAATATTAAAAGCTTTCAAGTTAATGGATAATGAACTGAATTTGCATCCTTCAATTGATTGTTTTTGT